CGTCCTAGATAATCGAGTCTAAAATTCGGACCTTTTCGGAAAAGGAACAAACATGACAGTGAGATGAGAGTGAAACAACTATGAAGGAAGCTGAACTGAAAACAGCAATTTCAAGGCTCTGACTTTGAAACAGGGGTAAATACTTCCGCCTTCCAAGCTGCTTTGTAGTGTGCATTTTATTGTTACGGTAACTGAAGTTTTAAATTTGTCACTACTAGTTGATATAACACTACCTACTGCGGTTCACCAAATACTGTTCAAACTATGTAAAACTAAGAATAGGTTGATAATAATAAGAGAGTGGCAGAAAACGATAGCAAATCATAAATGATGCAAGATAATTATCTTATCTATTACGTGGCGAGACCGAGATGCAAATTTACTGGATTCTAATAAGTAACAATTATCGCACCAATTAAAATATATCAAATAAAATGGGTATTATTAAGGCAAATGAGATAGTCTCACGATCCAACATGACAGATGCAGAACATACACTGAATCTCAATCTTGCTTGGTAACGTCCGGAAAATATTTCCCTCCCTCATAATTAATGTTGCTTGTGGTATCTAAGCAGACGACGAAGAGGTAGGGGGTTAAGATACGGTAAATGATATTGGGAGGAGAAGTTCTGGTGTCTTGTAACCTAGAACTGGCTAGCGAATCAGGGGGATTGGTTCAATATATAGCCCTGATCGGATTACAAAATGCGTTTAGCCGAATAATAGCGCAAACTGACCGGTCTTTTAAATATGACAACTACAGGACCTGATTGGAGGAGGAGGAGGAGGGTGAGGGTTTACAAGGAAGGTAACATTGGGTCACATTACACAGCTCCGAAGGTAATGTTTTTGACACAATCAGGCGGCAGGGGGGCTGATACTAATGCCGGGGGAGTGGGGCCATGACGACGAATACCTTTTCACATACATGCTACATTGTTCGAATTCCACTGCGAGGGGGTAATTTCTGGAAGTTATGATTTAGTGATAGTATTATCACACAATATTATCGGGTAAGTATTGAGTGTTGGAGACGGGAGCTGATTGTTCTGCATGTCTCTCCGTATTTGGTAATTATACTAATCAGAGTACTATATACTGTCTAGTAATACTTTCTAGTACTCCAACTACTGTCTAGTGTCTAGTGTTTAGTGTCTAGTTCCTCCTTTGAACGACGGAATGTTGCATTTTACTACCTACCACTTCTGCTTAAGTAATAAGAGATTAAAGCTAACCTGCCATTTTCATAAACGGTAGTGAATTTTCCTTGCTTACTTTACTCATATTTGCAGTTCTACGATTAAAACAATTCCGGCCGAAATAGTAATTTTTCATTGAAACGTATAGCTCTGCCAATCAAAGTATTAAACATCAGGCTACTATGTATACTATACTTCCTTACATACAATTATACCCTATAAACCTCGAATAACCAGACTGCACCTTTAGTTACGTAAGAAGTTGGTAATCTCATACTTTTAGTTTTTTTCCCCTTTCTTTTTGATCTATAAAAATTCATGGGAGTGTGATAGCTTCTAACTGGATCAGTTTGGTAGTTACGAACAATGATGAAGAGTTTCAGCTTAAAAGTGAATACCCACTAAGTAACATCTACCAAAAATGTGCAAACAAACTAGGATACAACATTTTAGGTTACAATAACGATGAAATTAGGTTACTGCCAGGAGTTAACTAGGATAAAACCTACAGGTCACACTATGTAGAATGCGAGAAGAAGAAGACGATGTAGCAACTGTAAGCCAACCCAGTGCACACTTTGTACTAACCAAGCCAAACAATTTAATGTGGTAAAGTTGTAAACACTCAGCAAGCCATGCTCTCAACCGGTTAATTAACCTTGACAATAATTGGGTGCGTACTTAATAATTTAATTATTTAATTAACGGGAAATAAAATGCGGCCAGTGCTAATAAAAAGAGATGTTTCGTATTTCAGCTCAACTGTGGAGAACATCTCTTTTTGAGCCACACTGTTGGAAGTTTAACGAGTCATGATTAGACGATGAGAGTAATTGACGTATTAAATTTCACCCTGAAGATATTCGCTAATACGCTAATTATGAAGACCGAATTAAATAAATTAATTCAATTTAAGTTACAGTATGATATTTCTGATATGGCTTATTATATTGGTATTTCTTATTTCATCATTAAAGTTTAATAATGATCATTAGTGAGTTACGAGTAAAGGCAACTCGTACAATTGGACAATTCACAAAGTGGAGGGCCAGCTTTTTTGGAATGTTTGGGATAAGAAGTCAGGATAATGTTTTAACTTTTTCCCATCAATTGTGAGAACTAAAAATAATTTTGAATAATTGGCTAGTGGAGATGTCACAGCAACCGATGCCCGGCTGTAACAGCTGTCAATTTCGGTTTAAAATATCGAAGTCCCATCAATACTGGTGGACTCTATATAGCTGACAGTATAAGGGATCATACACCAGGATCTTCCTAAAACTGGTTTGTTTCGGCTTTAGAAAGAGGGTGAAGCCCAAATCTAAGACATAATATGACAAACAATGCCCATTTTACATACGACACACTAGGCGCAGTGCATTATAATTAGTATCTGAAAGTTCCTACTCTTCCCAAAACTAACCATCTAAATTCGCTAAACTGTCAACTGATGGTGGGCGGACTATATAGCTAATTGGTCGGTTTTAGCATTGACCAACAAATTTGGCACTAATTGTAGGCATCAGAGACTCAGAGTCAACATGTACGTGCGGTAATACTTTTTAAATAGTGCGATTCCGCAACTTCCCAAAACGCTTCATGTGCGGCAAATATTGAGACAAAAAACACAACAATTAATTAGCTGAACTATTCACCAAATTTGCGGCAGTTCTCTCAGGTTGGATTATTCAAAAAAGTAACATATAATATTATAACGTTGGCTTACAAGATTGACAAGGTGTTTTACGTACATTGAGTTTCCTGACAGTCCAAGATTTATACTAGTTTTACTAGTGCCTCAGTTAAGTTTTCAAAATTGTCCCACATTTAAACGACGATTTGTCTTGAACTGAGTTGTAGGTTTGTAGAACTTCAAGACTCTCGGAGTCTGTTGTCGATATCTATGTTTAATATATTTATCGTATATAATTTGGAAGTCTCTCTCTCCAGCAGCAGGAGTTGGGGAAATGTGGACGCGTTGTGGAAGCCACTGTAAGGAAGGCTTACTGTCGACGCCGACCAATCAAAAGAAGAGTTGTAGGTTCATAATATAACCTACCATGCACCAAGACGCGCGCCGAGTTGGACTCGTCGACGGTCTTGAATATAATAATATTTGAAACAAATATTTTACCAGTATCACCCGTTAAGAACTAAGTTTCCCGACAATTGTATAACAGATGGGGCGGGGCGGCTTATTTTCGAATTTCAGGTATTTTTAAACATTAAAGCAAAAACGCCTAATTTAACGTCCGTTGACGGTCGACGTGAAAAAATATTTGGAGTCTTTTTGCTTCCAAAGGGGAAAAAAATGAGGCCTGGCCTTTTTTTTAAAGGACCAATAAAATTTAGGGAGGGTGGAGGGCAACAAAATTGTGGGGGAGGGGGGCGCCGGGCGGCACACAAATACGTTTCGCCACTGGTGAGAAGGGGGTAAGAAAAGACTCGACCTTTTAATTAACCAAATAAAATTTCAGCGGGGGTCCGGGGGCACTAAACGGCCAGTGTATTTGTAACTTTACGCCACTGACCCTGTAACCCCAGGCCAGGATGATGAGCATTTGTGATTTGTAGTTTGAGTAACCCAGTAGTACTTACCAGGGGACCCCAGGCTATTATAATTTTCATATGCTTGTCCATTGTTAATGGACTAGCCCGGCGCGCGCTACTTCGTAGAAGTTTAGACTAGTAACATCCGTCAAGATTAGGCGGAATGACAGGCTGAGCGCCGCCCAGTCTAGTAAAGTATTACTACTGCATACTGATAAGAGGAGTGATTTAACGGGTGATACTCGTAAAATATTTCTTTAAAATATTCAGGACCGTCGACGAGTCCAACTCGGCGCGCGTCCTGGTACGGTAGGTTATAATTATAAACCTACTCAGTTACACTTAATATCTTACTCTTATTAGAACGCTTCTACTAAATCGCTCGCCCAAATTTTAAGAAAATTCTTGTGAAAAGGCCCTTTTGGTATGAAATTGATCTCAACCGGTGTATTTTTGAACGCTGATTCCGAGTCACCCCCCATGACGTAGGGTAAAAATGCTTCCCTGGATAGTTATGGGCAAAAAACCGTTTTGGTCACGTGACAGGCTAGTAAAACATGAATTCGATTGTTTAGGGCTCGGGTTAGGGTTAGGGTTGTGGTAAGGGTTATGGATAGCTTCGGGGTTATGGTTAGGGTTGGGATTAGGGTTTATGTAAAACCGTTTTGTACGGCTGCAAAACCATAAAAACCAAAGTCACGTGAACTTTTTGGGCGAGCGAATTAGTAAGAGCTAGCCATCTTCAATCTTAGAATGCGCTTGCGCTTTGAGGTATTAACTAGACAACAGTTATTTCGATAAGCAATAAGGGGGGACAGAGGGCCCAAGTTGCAGCATAAACCAGACAATATTGAAGATTTAGATTTAAATATTGAGCCCTTTGGTTAGAGAATACTTTCTTAGATATTTTTGACAGTTTTTAATATTGGTAATGTTAATAAATTGTAATTGATCGATATGTAATATTTAGGCCCGGGGCCATTTTTACAACAAAGAGTGATTCGATCGACATCATCCTTTAACGGGTGATACTCGTAAAATATCTGTTCCATATATTAGGACCGTCGATGAGTCCAACTCGGCGCGCGTCCTGGTAGGTTGTAAACCTACACTAGAATCCTCCGGTAACCATTACCAAGAACGTACGTACGTGCGCGTTAGATCGCGGATCGCGCGCGATCGGTCTGATCTAATGTCAGGCGCGCGCGGCGCGCGTAGGGTCTACTGGAAAACTCATAAAATATCTTACCGCGTGTTACATGGCCAGGGATCCTCTGATGACAGGTGTCCCAGGTGGTGATGTTCGTTCCATAACTTTATGAGAGCCTTTGTTGCTTCCATTTGTGTGTTTGCTTTCATTCCCTTTGAATGCGAATAAATTATGTACGAGCTACTTTCATTGTGGAGTATTTAGAAATAAACTTTCATGATGGTCAGGAGTTAGCGCACCAATTTAATGGATTTACTTCTACTCATAGATTTGTTGTTTGGAGTACCCAAAAGAAAAACACAGGGGATGTGAAATTTTCAAAGCAATTAAAAAATTTGATCATAATTGATGATAATTATAGTACACGCATTCATAATACAGTTATAACGTTCAATTCTCAAAGTGTTTGAAATAAAGTGTGTATAATAAACTCTCGATCCAAATGCCAGTTCGTGTCAAGTGCAAACATATCGCGTAGCTCAAACTAACTAAAAAACGTTTAAAAAGATATCACCGAGGTCCAATGGAATGTATACAAAATATGCCCGCTATTTCACGAAGTATTCTCTACTGTTCAGTCACCGTGGTAAGAAGGAGCTTTACTTGCTAAATATAGTCCATGCAATGATTGTAAGATATCCATACTACTCTTTGATGGTTAACATTCTGATCAAATCTGAAATGGAATGTTACATGAGAATGAGAGGAGTAGAATGTTGTTATATAATAATCTGAAATGGAATGTTAGGATTATCTAGAAGGATTATCTACAATTTTCTTATTATATATATATTATAATTTATATATATACACGGAAAGTGTCCTGTATGTGTCAGCATTTAGAACCAGCAAGAAGTATTAAAATATACCCACAACTTAAGAAATTAACTTTTAATCCGTCGGGAACATTTTAAACTAGGTTATTTAACAAATTGTTCGCAACTTTCATAGAATGTTAGGTTAGGTGGTAGTATTAACGAAAGAATGGAAATAAAAAACACCCTCATAATTGGTGTAATATACAAAGGAATGTTTCCCATTATATCATAATGATTACGTTTGATGCGACAAGGAAAAGGCTCTTATCAGGAAAGGAATTATCCAACGTTTCAATGTGACAACATCGTATTCATGATCTCAAATTATTTGTTATATAGTAGCGTTGAAAGTTTTAAAAAAAAAGTTTTTTAAAAAGCATCAAACGGGATCAATAGAAATTTACCCAAAAAAAACCATTTCAACTATGCGACTCATAAATGATATTCCTATCCGGATTTTACATAATTATTACGTTATCTAGGATACCTTTAGCATCTTAAATACTGATACTTGTATTGAAAACTATGAGTTAACTAAGTAACTTACCCTCGTAGTTGACACAGCCTTGACTGTCCTCATACCCAGAGATCAGATCATCTACTTCCTTGTCCTCCATTGGCTCTCCTGGGATAGATAAAACACGTGAGATTCAAGGTAAAAAATATCAATTAGCGGGGGACTCTTAACCTTTCACATTTGAAAAAGATACAAAAGTTCTTTTAACCAAGGATCAGCAAGTGTAACTTTGAGATTATACAAAAGTTGCACAAACTAGGCGTACAGGATGAAATGGTTATTCCTTTCGGCCTGAAATCAAGAAATAGTACCACCTAGATCTGCCTTCTCAAGTCTCTATTTCAAGTACATTTTGTACATTCTACATTCCACCGTTATCTCCTGCTCTACTTCTCAAATACTGAAAGTTAAACATTCTCCACATATTGAGATATAACATTATACTGGATGAAACCAAAGCCTGGACGTTTGATCATACGATACTTTAAAAGGCACACAAATATGTAACAAACATTTTAGAGCTGAGTAATGAAGGCTGTTCATTACATCGCGATCGTGTAATTCTATAGGCCCGTATTCTATAGGCTGCAGTAAACACAGGTCTACATATTATAATGTGATCACTGATCATATTGAACCGTTTCCTCAGACATTACAGGAAATGGTATCACGTGATAATGAAATACACCTGCAGTCCTGTACTAATATACCTCAATGTGATCACTAACTAGCTAGAATTACTGTAATTCTGTACAGTTAGAAAAGAAAGGAAGGGCGGATGATCACTACCCAAAAGTTAGCAGCGTTGAAACCAAATATTGTAGGGCGGAGCTGAATAATTCGAATAATTTGAACATTTTAAATGTTTACAGTAACCTACAGTAATTATAGTAGAGATAGTTGTACATTTAAACAGCTTTACTGGCCGCTATTAAAACTGAATGAGACACACTCGGGTGTGTACTGTGTGTAACAGCATTCTAATATATCACGTAATTACGGCCTGTAACAAGGTCATGTGTAACTGTGTAACTGTGTTAAAGGTAGGTGTAATAACGTATATCAAGTTGCCTGATTTCAGCAATATCCCTGGTACCCGATGAAATTAGGTGGACACACCAGGATGTTAGCTTCGTCCTGCCAAGGTTACCGTGGACTTTAGCATTATGACTTAAGGTGGGGCATGTATTTGCAGATTTAATTTATTGGTATTGATTATTTAAGAGATCTCTGAAGGTATTGCAGTTAAACAACACTTTGTTTGGTAGAGAACCTAGACTGGCCAGTTTACTTCAAAGTATGTTTCATCAGAAAGTTTCAGCCTAGAGCGTGTGAAAGTGAGTCCAGAACTCATCGTGATGATTAAATACGTAAATAACATGCTAATAACGCAGCTGACAGGATTACGTTACAATTACAAGCTTAACTTCACGTTATTCCTACACGGCACACCCCGGAGATGTTACTCGCGATGTTGCGGCTTATAAATGAAACCTAATCAGTAATCTATTCGAAGTTATGAAACCAAATTATTATACTTCCAGTAAGGTATCTTCACAGGTTTTTAACAATGCGACATTTCTGTACACTCAGTTTAAAGAACAACACATTCTTTACGATCTTATACCGGAATTCATAAGAGAGGTAAGAGTAGAGATGTAAGCTTTGTTTTGTGAATAATTGGAGGTTATGATCGAACGTTAGGAATTTAAAGAAACATTGAATTGTTTTATATCGGCTTCACCATAATGTCATAATGTGTTTTAAGTTTTCCATCTCACAGCCTAGCTACACATAGCCTCTTTTTCTGATAGTAACCAAGTGAAGCTCTCATCAGGTCATGTTGAATGACACGAACAATTACATAATTGCACGAGACTGATGTAATTGTGATAAATATTATGTGCTTGCGAAACATGCGACATTTTGTTTTGATCTCATACGTTCTAAAATATAAGCAGCTATTATCATGGGAATTGAAACTATAGCAGCTGTGATACAAAACCTAGAGTAGTAAGAACTTATCACACAAACCTAGAGTAGTAAGAACGTGACGAAGTTCTGCGGAGGAGATTGTGCCGTTTCCTTCCTTGTCAAACACTCTCAGTCCCTCTATGTAATCTTTAGCGGAGTAATTTGGGGCGTTTCTCTGTAAATATAATGACAGGTTAGTACACTAAATATTATTTAAGATATTATAAATATGAAAGTAAATCACTAGCAATGTTTCCAGCTTACTTTTCAGTCTTAGAAATGAAAACATGAGCAATTATAAACTTTTTTTAAACAAAGCAATTATCTGAAAACCTGAACCGAGAGGTAAATTGGAAGAAAAGTCTCGAAAGCAATCCTTTTCTGGCCACTAGCTTCGCAGTCAGTTCGCGCTTTCTTTACCTCCGCCTGACAATAGAGGGTTATAACGAAAATAAGGAAGAGGGAAATGGTTTACCATAATATTGAACATGTCGGGAACCTGTAAATTGTAAAACACTTCACAAATCGGCAGTGCATTCTTTGTTGGGGAGGGGGGGTCAATGTGCCATATAATAGCATGAATAACTGTAAAGATGAATTGAAATCTAGAGATTTGTATAACAGTACTGTACAATAAGAGTTTACCTCAGTAGGGTTCTGACCCAGAGCTCGCAGCACATCACCAAGCTGTACGGTGTCTATGCAGTTATCTCCACGTTTGTCAAACAGACTGAAAGCGTCCTTGTATTCTGAAATTTTTACACTCTGTTATTGTAAAAGGTTTGACTAAATGAATCTACTATTGAGGAGCAATAATTGTGTAAAAATTAAACAGTAAGTTTATTATTAGCTACTTGAATAGATGGAAAATGTCATGATCGAACAAATATAATAGCAGTCCAGCTAGGATATTATAATTTACATACCAGCCATTTGATCATCTGAGATATCAGCCATGTTGAGGAAATTAGAGAACCTGCTGTAAATTATTTATACGGTTAATTAAGTTGTAACGTACATCATTATTTACTTCAGTCTTTTAGGTTCTATCAGTACCTAAAAATAAAACTTATTGTTTCATTGAGTAGACCTTTGCTATCAAACTGTTATAAACCACCGAAATTGAAATCTGTTATTTGTAAAACCAATCATAAAAACAGAATTCCTTATTAAAATAAAAGTAAGTTTTATAGGTAAACAAAAACATATTGATGTACAAGATCATCACGAATTATCATAATTATCATAATGATTATTTATAATTAATTCTTAACTAATAACTGAGCTTTTGATTGTGTACAATTGTAGAATCCATCTACTGCTCATGGTTGTTGGTGAATCATTAAGTTGTAAGCTGTCCAACACCGGTTCAACCGGTTAATTGAGGGTATGCACTGTCATACAACATGGCATGGCAGCAGGGTGGGAATAGTTGAGCTTTGGAATAGTTGTGCATATTTATCACTTGTTTTATACTGCGTAATAGGAATATGGTAGCCATGGTAGCCAAGCAGTGGCGTAACATCTTAGAGGGGTGCCAAATCGTCGTGACAACAGGCAACGTTACGCCACTGTAGCCAAGAATAATTGAGGTTTAGAATGAAAGGAACGTGATGAGAATACAGTTTAACATGCCTTAATTATAATTATTTAGTTCTAGAGTTTTAAAGGCTACTTTTTAGAACTTTCACAACAAAAATCGGCTAGGAACCTCATTCATAGATTCCTCACTGTCAGCCACCATGATACGCACTAGTTGTATTTCCATTTCTGCAGAAAATCACTACATTTCCAAGTTTTAGTGTTATGCAAACCCTGATGGCGCTGGCATAGCAGTTTTTTTTTGTTGTTGAAACAATTTTTATTTTACATTCCTTTATTCATAAATAAAATAAGAGCTTAAACCATGAATTAGTTAACTAGTAGTAAACTTGAGGAAATATTCTTTAGTGGTTGTACATAATTATTTAAAAAACTTTCTTTGTTAGTATTTTTACTATGGAAAGTGGTTGAATTTAGTGAGACAAGGTCAGTTTCTCTATTGTCTTAGAAAATTTTCTACTTTACAGTAGGCAATGCTGAGTGGCAGGAAAGAGGGACCAAAACGCTTGGGGCTAACAATGGCCCATTTACAAACCACTTCAGACATGGCAATGATGTCAAATTTATGCTTAATTCGTCTGAAACTGACCCTACTGCACTTCTAACATTCTGTAAACATCTCTTCTAAAATAGGTATAAAATGCATAACACAAAACACACACACAAAATGTTTATAATCCTTATATAATAAATTTCTATAGAATTTTAAAATTTCTATAAAGCTAATAAACCTATATATATATATTCATTTTGCACCCAGAGAAAGATGTGATCACAGAGGTAGTTTCGATATTATGTTCATGACAAGGTATGGGGCTGCTGCAAGTTATATTTTGCTAAGATATTACTGCTTTTTCAAGCTTAAGTAATCTAGGCAGGGTCAATTTTAAAGTTTTTGAATTTTGTCGAACGCTGTTTTTAAAGGCTAAGTTCCAGTCATTTGGTTCTCCTTCCTTTTGAGTGTGAGTGATGGTGATTCTTATAGATGATTTGAGGTGATTGGGCTTATAACAGGTGAATGTAGTTGCTTTAGTGATTCGTATAAGAAACAGCTACTATCATCTATAACAACAGACCCTAATTATACCGTCGACAATTCATATGACAAATTTTACACTGCAATCATAGTCGCCGATAACTAAGTAACTTCTAATTCTTTTAAATCTGAGGCATATATAATTGATGTATCGAAAAGATATTCCCTTTTTTACCACCTTACCATTCTGATTGATTTTGCACATGACTGACATGTTTTAACTGGAGAAGGGGTTCGCACAGTGGTAGTTTTATAAACCACTTTTAATTTATTGACCTATTATACTTAGTGGTAGTTTTATAGACCACATTTAATTTATTAACTTATCATACTTAGTATTTATTTTTGGTGACTGTATCACCCAGTTTTAACATTTGATAATTGTACAGTTTATTGACGACACATTGACTGAATGTTATTTTATATTCTAATTTATATTCTAGATATTTTATTTATTTTACAACAGACGACAACTTCCTGTTTTTTCTTCTATATTAGTTACTCATATCTCTTGTACAGACTTTTTTACAAGGACATTGACAAATGATACTCACATTAGGCATTCATTATTGCATCTAAATTATTTCACTTGCATTAGGCTTAGAAATTTATTCTCTGGTCAACAGATTTCAAATGTTTAATTAATTTGTAGTATGACAGTAAGGTATATAAGAAGTTATTTAATTTAGCTTGGGCTATTATATTGACGAGGTTTAATGATGATATGGAATTTGAATTCTATATAAATTTACACTATGTGGTTGGGGCATTTTGCATAGTAAATATGGTTACTACTCATATATATCATATTATTTGATTGGTATTCGATTTCTGATTATTTCTCTAGGAATATGATTATTATATCTCAATTTGGCTTTAGGTAGGGTGCCCCGCTAAAAGAACTGGATTCTTCCAGGAAGCATCCCGTGCACAGAGCTTGGTCTACATATATATTAAATTATTAACCATTCATTCTGTATGTGCACGAAAATTTATTTCAATCAATGTAGTTAGCATGAGATTTTGTCGTACTGTATTCCATATTGTCCCTGCTCTGTATATGTAGCTGTCTGATGGTATAGGTGTGAGAATGAGTGTCTCTTTGCCAAGTCTGCCAGATGTTTCAAAGAGGGAGTAAAGTGATATAGGGGTTCTATATTTCAAGACCTTGAAGATGTCATTAATACAATGGTAGAAGTACAAATTAAATGAAAGATATTAAGATTTGTATGCACTGGATGGGGGGGGGGGGGGGGGGGGGGGGGTAGTGGCGTAACGTTATCCTTAGATCTGAATAAAATACCCTAGTAGAAGATGGTTGGGCTGAAATACAAAATTGGTTGAACTGAGAAAGCTGAATGCCAAACAACTACAACATGAAAAATTGAAAGCTTATATATATCAAGAGTGTAAAAATTTATCAACATGAATTTCGACGCGGTTACACCACGCACGATCAAATTTCCCTACAATGTAATTGTTTTACTTGTATTGCATCCCAGAGTGGTGATTGGAGCACGTGATAATCAGTGTCACCGTTGATCTGTATGTGGTTTGGTTGTACTTGGTAGGTCACTTCATATTTTGCACGGTTTTGTGTCATGTTAACAATGTCGATTATTAACCATTCTTTTTATAAGCATGTAAATACAGATGTAAATATGAAGACAACAACAACCAGCTTAGGACCTACCAACAACCACAAGAGTGTCCGACTTGAAGCCGGTAAGTGTTTGTGTGTAAGTTGTTCTATTTCCTGTTTTACATTGTGATCTGTTTTACTTCGTGATTGTGTACTTCCTGAGAGGATGTTCCTTACAGTGTTTTAAGTGCTTAATTACCCCAGGTTGTTTTGTGTGGATGCTAGCGTAGCAGTCCAGTGAAGTTAGATTGAGGATATAGTTCTGAGTGAACAGCTCTGAGAGAGCAGACAAGTATAGTAAAGAGTGGACCTGAGTGAGCGCTGAGAGAGCAGTAACCAGCACAAGTAAGAGGGACAGTATAGCTGAGAGAGCTACTGCTAGTAAAGAGTGGATCAAGGAACTTTCCCCAAATCACAGTTAAATTATTAATAGATAATATTTATTGATTTGATTTGGATGGTGAACACAGATCACTCAGCGTAATAATCATACACCACTCACTGATCAACCAAGAACATCTGAGAGTTATAACTAGAGAGTTATCTAACCTTGTTATAAATCTATTATATTACAACCTTTAACACCTTTATCCCAGAGAGTTTCACTGGTACTTTAGTAACTATTCTCCATATTTAGCGTAATTAACAAACAATGCGCGCATCATATTATTGCATAGTATGCCAAACTTTATAGACTGTAACATGTCTCATCATCTGTCTCAACTTAGTTATTATTTGTATCTAACATGAACTGATAGATTTTGATGCTTACTCGACACATCTACATACCATCGCGATCGACTATTGAGCCTTTCATTTCATATAAGATTTTTAAAAAGCTTGCTGCAATCTTATTTGCTTCTTGAATGTTAATGTAAAGTAACATCTGTTTTCAACTAAGTATTCACTTTTTACCATTTGGTGTCGAACTATTAAATAATCAGCCACGAGTTTATCAGCTGATATCATAATTTTATTTGTTTTGACTTGCCTACCTTACAAGACATTTTTGTGGCGGACCAATGTGCGACGACCGAAATTTTGGCGGTCCGAAAATATGGCGAGATTGAACAAAAACCGTCACATTTCGGACGTCACAGAAAATAAGGGTATTTTTCATCATTTTGTTTTCTGACACAAAGGAAATTCAAAATTTTCTAAAAATCGGTAAAATCATGTTGAAACAAAATGAAACTTATAAATCGATTTCTTCATCTTCCTCTAAGGGGTCCGGCTCGAATCTTTCAGTTTCACTTATTGAGTTTGGTATTAAATTGTTTATCTTGACTTAGTCTATAAGACGTTTATGTTAGCACATAAATGTAATTTATTGTAAATTTAAAACGTATAACTTGACATTAAATTCATCATGGAATATTGTGTTTATTTGTCCCACCATCATATCACTAACTTTTCAAGAACAAAATGAATCGATGAAGCCACAATTATTGGAATAAGCTAAAAATAATGCGACGGATTCTATTACGACGACCGAAATTTTGGCGGTCCGAAAATATGGCGAAATTTCGGGAAAACCGTCGCATTTCGTACGTTATAAAAATGTCTTGTAAGGTAATCTTATCACTTAATAATTCATTATATCACGTGGTGACCCCCACTGTCGCTTCACTATAGTACCCCTGTAGAGTTTCTACGATACAGGGGGAGCCGCGCACTCGTGCGCGGCGGGTCATACAACGTATGACCAATAATTCATTAAGCTTGTTTCATCAAAATAACATTTATGTTGATGATTGATTTGACCATTGTTAATATATAATGGTTTGGCTTTGTAGCACGTGCCATCGGGCCATTTCGAGAAGAAAGCGGCGCGCGCTACTGCGAAGAAATTTAGACGAGTAACATGCGTCAATACACGGTGAATTTCCATTATTCACAGTTAGAGGCAAATTTTGGTACTAAATTTATCAAAATCAGAGACAAAAGTCTGTGCCAACTCATGGCGCTTATTACATATTGCATATATGATAGACTAGCATGCAAGGTTTTACAATTATTGGTGAGGATTAAATTTTGCTTGAAATTTTAGCTCATCCGATCAGCATTCAAAACGACCATTACTTGATTATTAAGGGCGAGGGTCAGTTTCCTATGCAGTTTTGATCATTCAAAAAATAATTTGTTATACTTCAACTCAGCCTAAAAACTAAAATGCAATCAATTATCAATTGTAGCGCGATGCGTTACTGTGCCGCGCCGCGCACTCAATGAGGCTTCTCTGGCTAGATCGGCGAGATGCGCTACTGTGCCGCGCCGAGCTGCCATGAATTGACATCGTCAATTAAATTATCAATTATCTATTTGTCATACGTTACTGGGCCGCGCTCAGCCCACAGCCTGTCATTCCGCCTAATCTCTATGTTTATAAACATGATAGCCTGAGGTCCCCAGGTAAGTCATTTGACCATTGTTAATGGTTTGGCCCGGCGCGCGCTACTTCGTAGCACGTGCCATCGGCACCACCATTGCACATTGTGAAACGACAATGGGGGTCACGACGTGATACACAAATACTTACCATTAAAATCGAAATCAGAATTTACAAATTTACATAAAACGTTGACACACTCTGTCATGTAATTCCCCTTTTGATCGCGCACGAAGCGCGCGCGGCCGGCCGGCCGGCGTGCACAAGAGGTATACAACATTTTACTTGTATCACGTGGTGACCCCCACTGACCCCCACTGTCGCTTCACTATATCTTCGACGATACAGGGGGAGCCGCGCACTTCGTGCGCGGCGGGTCATACAACGTATGACAACATTTTACTGGGCCGCGCTCAGCCTGTCATTCCGCCAAATCTTTATTTGTTTATGAACATAATAGCCTGGGGTCCCCAGGTAAACAACGTTTAGCAAATAAAACGGTCAAAATCTAATCGCGCCCTACCCAGGGCACAGAGGGAAGAGCCAAAGGCGTCAAAATACAACGCAACGTTATTTACGCTATGTATATGGTATAATTTAATAGTAGTGCACGCCATCGACAATCGATATTGAGCCGTGCGTGCCGATTGTAGGATGGCCACTTGCCATCGGGCCATATTTCGAGAATAAAGCGGCGCTCGCTACTTAACTTCGAAAAAATTTAGACGAGTAACATCCGCAATCCGTCAAAGTTCATGTTCAATGTTACAGCTTAAAGCAACGTCTTTTGGCCGGCCCATTTATATATTTAATTCATCATTATAATCTATATCAACTTCAATATCCACTTGTATCACGTCGTGACCCCCACGGTCGTTTCACTATAGTGAGTCGTTTCACTATGGAAGAGTTTGTACGATACAGGCGGGTCATACACGAGCGTGCTAAATCACTCTACAGTCGATCTTCGAGATTGTTCTAAAAGGGCCCCCGACGGTTGTAACCAACTTCAATCGATGTATTTTCGGACGCTGATTCCGAATGACCCCTCATGACATAGTAGGGTTAAAATGCTCCCCTGACGAGATATTGGCGAAAAACTGTCTCGATCACGTGATATGACCGTATAAGGAAGTCAGTCTTATTTCTCGTTAGGGTTAGGGTTTCAGCAAATGTTTTTGTTTAGGATTGGGTTAGAGCTAGGGTTGGGATCAGATTAGAGGGTTAGGTTTTCGAAAAGTCGTTCAGAACCAGCTAGAGAACGGGTTGAAAAAGTCACGTGACAGTCGAGTGTAGAGTGATTAATCATCATCCGGTCATACAACGTATGAAAAATATCCACCAAGATTTTCGGACAGTTTTGAAAGTCCGCAATTGGAAGGTTTTTATAAATTTTCTTAGTATGTGGTATGATCCCATTTCAGGAATTTGAGGTATGATGGAATAATATTATAACGACGAAAATCAATAAATTTCGTCAAATTACGTTACTTTTACATTTTGTTTGTTTTGAAACCCCACGGTGGAGGTTGGCGTGTGCCGCAATTTATTGATCAATGGTTATTACATAAATGAAATTATAGTCACACTAAAATATAATAATGTAAAATAAATATATTAAAATAAATGCCCTACTAAAAGTACTATATAACTAACGGTCTGCAAAACTAACTGGCTGAAGTCGCAATTTGTAAACATGCTAATTACTATTTAATAATAATAGATAAAAAGTTTTGCGCGGCAGATGTAAATTCGGCATTGCATAATGGCAGTGAAATTAAAATGATATGTTGTTGATAGCAGATCATAGTCATTTGACGCGAGTGATCTTTCTTTACGCGTTGTCGCTTACTAACTCGGTGCTGTAGTCTATTTGCGAGCGCCCTTCTCTTTGAGACTTTCTTAGCCCAGGTATACTATAAAGTAAGAAATTTGGCCAATTTTCATCGTCTCCTGAGCTTTGCAGCTTGAGGAGTTCGCGCTTAGCTGAATTTTTAAAGATTTCAATTGAAAAGGTAGAACTTGGAATAGTTATATCCTTACTTTGTTTTGTAATAGAGAGCATGGGTCCTTTGAAGAAAAGAGTATTTCTAAATGTTGGGCCGTTGTAAGTTGTGAACCAAGAAAGGTTATGTTCGTATGTGGAATTATAGGTGGGAATATCGTGAGGGAAAAGTTCTTTGATGGATTTAGGGAGAAGGCTTGGCATGTTCTTTACTTTGTGTAGTAGAATAAGAGCGTTTTTTACAATGACGCTATGGACTGTTAGGATATTATGCAATCTAAACGCACTTTTTGTGTGCTCCGGGGGATTGCCGTCTTTATATCTATAATTTACATATCCTGACATAACAGCTCTAATTCCCTGCTTTTGCTTGGTGAACAGAGATTCAATGTGACATTTTGAGGCAAATCCCCACACTAAAGAACAGAAATTTAGATGGGATTGGATAAGGCTTTGGAAAATGTTTAGGCGGGCTTTGATAGGTAGAAGGTGCTTTAGCTTATACATAACTCCGAGGTAGCGACCCATCTTTATTCTAACGGCCGTAATGTGTTTTTGCCAAGTGAGCTTTTCGTCTAGGATCACTCCTAAAAATCTTGCTTCAGTCTTACGTTCGATTACAGTGTTGTCAATGGACAAATTAAAGCCGCTGAAGTCGATTCTTTTTCTAGTGAAAATCATGTAACACGTTTTTTTTACATTTAAAGATAGCCCATTAACACCTACCCAATCTACAAGACGTGAAATTAGCTGATTGGCTTTTAATTGTATTTCTTCTAGGGTGGTTCCACTAGTTAATATGTTTGCGTCGTCGGCATAAAGGATGAACTTTGCAAAATCACTAATTCCAGGTAGGTCGTTTATATAAATTACAAATAAGAGAGGTCCTAAAATGCTACCCTGAGGTACGCCGTAAACTATGGGCATGCTAGAAGAGCAAGTTCCGTTTAAAGTTACGTATTGAGATCGATTACAAAGGTAAGATCTAAACCATTCGTGCGCGACTCCCCTGATCCCATAATGGTCAAGCTTCTTAAGCAAGGTCTCATGATCAAGCACGTCAAAGGCTTTACTGTAATCGAGCAGGAGCAGTAGGGAAATTTGTTTCTTATTCAGAGAGTGTAGTATAGAATTTTGTGCATTGAGCAGTGCATGTTCGCACGATCTTCCTGGCCGAAATCCGTATTGATTTTCGAAAAGAGAATCGTTCTTATCTAAAAATTCTAAAACACGAGCATGCATAAGTTTCTCATAAATTTTCGAGAATGATCCCAAAAGAGAGATCGGCCTATAATTAGCTACTTCTAATTTTGAACCACCTTTGTGGATAGGAACGACTTTCGCAGTTTTTAGAGCATTTGGGAAGGTACCACTGGAGAACGAACAGTTAATGACATTAGCTAGTGCCCTGGTAAAGTTTTCGCAGCTGTTTGCAATTTTCAATGGCTCAATTTTACAATCGAGTGTGGACTTGTTCTTAAGCCCTGATATTATCTTTTGGACTTCACCGTGTGATGTAGGCTTAAGAAACATCGAGTTACTACACGAAGCCTTAAGAAAATGCTTGAAACCACCTGGGTCAAAGGTTCGACGGGCAGCGATTTGCCTCTTGATACTGGCTGCAATACCGGAGAAGTAGCCGTTAAATTTCTCAGCGACTGCCAGATCGGAGCTTATAATCGTGCCATCGTCGTCCTTCAGACGGGTGTGTCCGAACTTTTTTCTGTTACGGTTCAGGAGGCCATTGATAATTTTCCATTGACTTTTAGAGCAGTTTTGGTATTTGTCAAACATTTTTTTATAGTACTTTTCTTTGGCTAGATTCACATGTTTGTGACAAAACTTTTTCATTTTATCATACGCGTTGCAGTTTTTTTGTGATGGATTTATAGTTTTTTCAAAAAAAAGTAACTTCTTGCGGTTGCATGCCGCCTCAAGCCAGGGTAAGATCCAAGGCTTTGGGTCAGCTCTTTCGAATTTTCTTCTCGAACTGTCGCGCTTCAGGGGGTATGCAGTATTGTAGTGTTTCATGTACGTTTGATAGATGGAATTGTATTGTTCATCAGCGCACGTTGAGGAGGTAGCATCATCCCAGGTCTCACTTACAATAAGCTCTTTGAATTTAGCATGATTAGCTTCGTTAAATACACGGGCCTCTAATTTCAAGCTAGTGTTGTTGTTCTTTACACGTTGACTACGGAATCGCTCGTTCAAACTAGGTGTGGCTCCTAAACTAATGGTCGTGCTAACCGCGAGATGATCTGACATATCCAACGTCACGACATTACAACTAATAACGTTGGTCACGTGATTAGTATACACGTGATCAATAAGCGTTGCACTGTGGTCAGTTACCCTGCTAGGCTTGGAGACAGTCTGGGCAAACCCATATTTTTCTAGTAAGCTTATAAGATCCTGGCTGTAAGCGTCGGTATCGTATTTTATAAGATCAATATTTGCATCACCCAGGAAGACTATCTGCTTTCTGGAGTGTCTATCAAGACCCCTGAGCACGTTTTCAAACTTTTCAAGGAATTTTTTAGGGCTTGTGGATGGCGAGCGGTAGAAATTTACGATGATTTTTGTCTTATTTCCGTTTTTAAAATTGTTGATTTTAAGCAATTGAAATTCTCCGCAAGTAACTTCTTCTGGACTCAGATTGAGTTCGAGTTCCTGTATTTTATCGTAATCACAAACGCGTTTGTTAACATAGAGCGCAAGACCACCTCCTTTTCCAGATTTACGTGCAGGTTCTTTGATAAAGGGCTCGTAAAACTGTTCGATTTCAATGTCGTTCAGACCATTAGGAAGATTAGAAATTTTACAGTTGGTTTCATTAAGGCAGATGAGGTCAAATTTGGAGAATGTTTCTATTTCTTCTCTAAAATTTGAGATATTCTTCACGAGTGATCTAACGTTTAACGAAAGTATCTTAAATTCGCGATTGCTAGGGGTCTTGATATTATCAGGGTGTTGGTACTTACAGCTAACCAATATCTCAGATATACAATTGTTGAGATCGATTTCGCTGGAATCTATTTCATCAGTAAGTTCGCCTATTTGATTCAGTACGTGAGAACGAATATAGGGGTTAAAAGTGGGGGTTATTGTATTGTAATTATCATTAAGTTCGTAGGAAGTTACTCTATAGCCAGGTATTAGGTTTAGACAGCATGTAATACAACCAAGATAATCTTTGAGGCATTTTTTATGAACTGGTTTGTCACATACAGGACAAATGAAAACATTTCTAGGAGCATAAGACCACCCGAAGCAACTTGAGCATTGTGATTTGAAACTAGGTTCAACCATTGTTCAAGATGTGTAAATACCAGATATCTGTGGATAATTAAGTAAGATATTAAATAGATAAGAGTGTATAGTATGGTGTATAGAATAGCTTGTACAGTCTAAGAAAATGTATAAAATGCTAATGTGTGTGCGTGTGAATGAATGAGGAATAAACTGTGTGCTGAGAAAGCGTAAAGATGAAAAAGAAAACTTGTTAGACCTACCTATCAAGAACTATACAGCTCTGTGTGTAGATAGAATCGTAACGTAGTCTACAATATTACAATATTACGATAGCGGTACTGATTTCAGAACTATTCTAAAGTGTTTAAAAAACTCGGGCAAGAATTCTAGTAACTTACGATAAGCTGATAAGAGCACGGGCATGACTATATATTTTTATGCGAGGGTTTTCATTATAACCATAAGATGTAAGCTATAATCCCTTAAAGATTTTGTAAAAATTTTGTGAAAATTTTGGCGCGGCAAGTATAAGTAGTAGGCTGGGGTACGGCTTTGTGAGTTTGTATTTAACCGTTAGTTACCAGGCAAGAGCGAGACAAACTCCCGCCTTAATGGCCAGTGCTTTCGAACTTTCTCGCTTCGCATAGAGAGTTTTTGAACACCGGTCACCAGACAGTTAGCTATCTCACTCTTGGGCAGCTGAGTAATGTGAATCCCATTTCCAGATCTATCTAAAATCTCAAACCCTTTGTTAAATATCACACTACAAATATGGTGGGAGTCGAAAAACCAAAAGTTACGATTTTCGATCAGACTAAAGTCAAACATGCAGCGGTTAAACAAATCAACCTCCTTATTTAACCATGCAAATCTCGTTCTAAGAAGGGAGTTGAAAACAAACACTGTTTTTGGATATCTAGCAAACAAGTAGTTAAAATTGTCCCTAATTTCACGGGAAAGTGTATAGCTTCTATGGTCATATCTCGACAAATCATTAATACCGGAAGATATAATCACATAATCGCAGTTTTCAAAAAAATTTTCAAACTTCATTAAGTCCGTGAGTTGGTACATGTCACGCTTTATGACACGAAAGTTAGAGGGGAAAGATGATGAGGTGTTACGTATCATAGAGTCAGTAAGGTATAGGACAGTCTGTTTGGAGGGTCTCAGGGGGTCGGATGGTGCTATTGACGGTTCATGGATTTTAGGAATGTGCGTGCGCATGGGCTTGTCTATGCGTCTAAAGGTCACTGACACACGACACGAGGTGACGCCAGGTTCGGGGTGTATCGCATGCTCCCAGAAAAACTGAGACTCTGTGGTCATTGCGTACACTGTGCCATTCCTTAGTTCGTGTTCACGTCGCTCATCAGTGACTATGTTACGGAAAGTTAAGGTGCGAGTGGCCCCAAAGCTGGCAGTGATGATTTCACCTGTTAAGCCTGTTTCATTATCAGAGTGAAACGGGATAGAGTCTGAGCCTGTCTGGTATCTAGTGACCATGCAAGTAACGTTATCCCTATTGAAGGTGGGATCGTCTAGTTCGTCAGCTATACAGTCTAGTATCTTATTTACAGCGTGATCAGATGGTGGGTAGGCCTTAGCACGATGGGTAATACTGCCGTAACTGTATTTACTGGAGCCGAAGTAAGAGACGTCACGTGATCCTATGCGTTGAAAGTCCAGTCCATCACAAACATTATGCGTTTCAAACTCAAACTTTGATCGCAAACTTCTTACCGGAGTAGCTTCTAGTACTTCCTCGTGTCCGGCTGGCGAACCTGTGACGAAGGTTGAGGGATCCGAAGTAGTGTTGGGAGTAGAGTTCCTAGCGACGAGAGAACTAGAGCTCCTTATCACCTCCTTGTATTCGTCAAGCGTCTGTTCGGCTTTTTCCAGCAGCATGCAAAAATCGGAGGTTAGATTACCGTGTATAGTCTGCCTATCAGTTGGATTTCTGATAAGATGATCATAGTATCTAGAGTCTAGATTTAGCTTTGCTGTCATGTATGGTTTTCGTAGCGTTTTGTTTGTAGATTTACAGAGTCCGGCACTTAAAGATTCACGATAAAGTTGGTCCGGTGTAAGTGACGGCAGTAGCTCGAGGCAAGTTTCTGGCGTAAAAGTAGGTACCCAAAAACCAACAAACTCTGTCTGCGTACTGTGATTTTCGACGTTTATCTTACCTTCAGCTTGAGGGTTTGCCGAGCAGTGTTTTTGATCTGCGGCAGTGGTGGGGGCACCACTGCCCAGCAACCCCTTTTCAGATGTGTCGCTCTGCGTCGTGGTACTCGAACTAGAGGTAGGGCTGTGGGACTCCAGAGGACTCGAGGGGATCAAGCTTAGGTTAGTAGGACTCGAACTAGGCTCAGAAGACATGGTATAGAGGGTGTAAAAGTAGGTGTTGGATGTAAACTGGTTAACAAGACGTGGCTAAAAGGCAGGTCAGGCCGCGCGTTATCAGCTTATCAGATTACTATCAGCAGCAACAAAACATTTAGTGAATATTGTGGACATTTAGTGAATATTGTGGACATTTAGTGAAATTTATTTTCACATAGCCATGTGTATACGGCATACGCGTACTGCGTGACGTGCTTGTTTCGGTCGAGCCATGTGTATCGCGAGCTACTGCAAGCGAGAGGGCTCTGGTTAGAGCAAACATTTATTGAAGCTCCAGCTCCAAAATCCGCGCGTCATAAAATATGGCAACTAGGCAAAACTCATTTATCATTCCAAAAAGGTATAACAAATTTGGTGTTGTGAAAAATCTCACACTACACTTTTTAGAAAACAGTGGTATAACAATTTTGAAAATCTGAGCAAGTTTATTTTTATCGTGCATGACTGGACCTCCTAGTCCTACTATGTACTACATAGTACATATACTGTACAAAACGATGGTACAATTATATTCGTATTAGCTGCCACAATCTTTACATTGAGAGGGGCCGTTACGAAACCCCCCTAGTACCAAGAGAACATCGATGGTGCACTTTTTGCTTTTTCAGCAAGGGGCTTAAGCCTATTGAGGACGAAATTCATGTTCTAACTGACTGTTTACTCTACTCCTCAGTTAGAGAAAATTTTAACTTCCATCCCAAAAATATTACTGACCTAGCCGGTTTGCTATCCGATAAAACACTAGACCCTACAAAATTTACTGCCACAGCAAGAGCAATCCATTCAATTCTCTCTGTGAACGAAAATTTTACAGCCTACTATAAGAGCCCAGATTTCTACTCAAATACTGGCCAATGCATAATGCTATAGGACCTCAAAAATAGTATTATAAAACATTTCTATTTTATCCCTACACATTTGTAAATAACTAGAATTGTGTAACCTTAAATTATTTCAGAATTATAACTATTGTCAATTCAATAAAATAATTATCACTTTTGTATCCTTGTTTCCTTGTATCCTTGTATCCTTGTAGAACATTACGGTAATCTCGATTCTAATTCAAGTTTCTTTCATTTCTTCTCCTTTCGTCTCCCTATCGTAGACCAAAGAGCTAATAAACCCAATTAGAGCAACAGCACTGTAAAGTCCTATCAGAGCGTATGGGTTTGTATAAAACAACAAGTAGACACAACCCGCGCCTAACAAACCTCCCAGCTTCCCCCATCCGTTAATGAACCCAATAGCCGTGGAACGAATATCAGTTGGGAAGCTTTCTGGCATCATTATCCAGATTAAGGTGTTGGACACAGCTATGCACATTTTGATAACCACTGAGGTTAATAATGTAAATACTGGACCTACGCACACAAAAAAACACATCATGGAGAGCACAGCGAAACCAATAGCTACTCTCAATGGTACCAAACGATTCACTGTTAGGGCTAGAATTAATGCTCCAACCGCTGCGACAATTTGTGTAGAAGTTACAATTGACAACTTCGCAAGGTCCTCTTGAGAGAGGTTTTGGCATATATGCTCTGGTGCCACTCCAGCGCCACAGATATCGGAACTAAATAGTAGGGGCAGCAGAGTGATAAGACCATACTCAACGAAGATATTGCTGAAGTAAATCACAGAAAGAGCTATGACTGATTTCTTATGTTCCTTGCTGAGAAGCTTGGAATAACTTCCGGAATCTTGATCGGAGCAGCAAACCACTTGTAAGTCATCCGATAGCTCCTTTCCGTTGAGTCGTGCCAAGCACCTGATAGCCTTCATTGCCTTGTCCTGTTGTCCATTAGCACACAGATAACGAGGAGATTCTGGAAGTATAATAATCATTACAAGTGTCGGAACAGCTTGAATTGTGCAGACAATGATAAACCATCTCCAACCTATAACATGAAGCAGCAGATAGGCGAGAACATTAACCCCAACCTTTCCTAGTTTCATGGAGACACTGAAAATAAAGCTCCCATGTGCACGGTAACGACTCTCAGAGAACTCGGTGCAGTAGCAGGCTATACAGCTGATGTTAACTCCCACACAAGCCCCTGTCAGAACTCTAGTCAGAAGGAAGACCCACTCATTGGGGGACACAGCACCAGCGGTAGCAGCCACCATCAGAACTATTGTAGCCCACTTTATAACCGGCTTTCTCCCGTACTTATCTGCTATCTTCCCAAACACCACCGCACAGATTGCATAGCTGCCATATACTGCCACAGTGGTTGCTGCTTCAAACACGTAGGATAAGTCCCAGATACACCTCAAAGTAGGGAGGATTACTGAGAGAAGTGTTAGTTCTACGTAGTCAGAAGATGCTACAAGTACAGTTAATATCCAGTAAAGATACTGGGCCGGACCAAGGCCAACCAGTTCGTAGATCTCATTCAGCTCCTTTGTGTTATCTTCTGAACTATTTTCTGTGGGATCTTTGTCTTTGTCACTGACCAGTGTCTCTTCTGGTTGGTTTGATGTTGAACCGTATACTGTGAGATTATCGTCTTCATTACTGACAAGTCTCTTTTCATCTTCTTCCATTAACGTAAAATCTGGTTGGTATGCACCGTTAGTATGTGTAGAATAAGCTCTTTTATAATTTCTGTAGATAAATATGGAATAGCGTAGCCGCAATTAATAGCGATCATCAAATTATTAAAGAATTTTGACAGAAATCAAATGACGAATTTATACTTAACAATAAACATGTTACTAAGAGAGAAGTAGAACTTAACACGGGGAACGTCTCAATTCTCACCGAACATATGAGACCACTAGTGAGAAGATTATAAGTGTAAATCTGTAAATTGAGCTTCCTGCTGTATGAATGTACAAACTTTCAAATTCAACTACAAACTACATCTATTCAATATAAGCTTTATAGCTTTATGGTTATTGGTTAGTGATGTTTGGATAATATATAACTTGTTACGACATTGAAAGGCAGGATTGACAGGGACTAGTTTAAAACTAGATCATAGTCAATAAACTGATATTGAAATCGAGTCACCTCTTCGTTTTTAATTAAATAATATTATAGCATTAAAAGTCACTGTATTTGAGTTACCAATGACCTATTTAACCCAATTCAGTATCAAAAAACTCTGTACATCGTAGTGCACACTCAACTACACCCTGCTACTGGAGTAAATACTTTAACAGATTGAAATCGAGTCACTTTATCTTGTGCACACAATATGTCTGAATGTGAACTGCAATTATGTGGAATATGATGTTGTAAAGTTACTTTGAAGTTAGCACTTAATGAGAGAGACTTTGCGGAGAAACGAGGGGCTTTCATGGCGCCCCAGTAACTCGTGCTCCGTTTTATAGATCTATATTATAGCGTACGCTTAGCTGTATATTGACTAATTGACCACATAACACATTTGGTATAATCACATACGACTAGGAACTCAGGAACCGAATACCTCAGTAGGTACCTGTCTAGGGATTTGGCTGCAGGACTGGAATAGGTCAGATATCAATCAATCTTCCTTTTTTTTTCAGACTGGTACCGAGTGGCAAGTGTTAAGATTACTAAAAAGTTTTAAGATTTCCGACCGCTTGCTGCTAAATCTCAGACAATTAAAAAACGTATCCTAACAGTTTTGAAATTTCCGATTTCGTGCACTTCATGCCATTAGAGTTATATATATATACTAGAAAACCCGTGGCCACAGGGAGGAAGCTAATAGTATTTTTTGTTAGTAAGTTTAAATAGAGTCAAAAAATATGCTACATAACCAAAGATACAGCCGATTAAAATGTTGCTCCTAAAATGCCGTTCAAACATTATTTGCACGTGCACGTGCGTGTTACAACCCTCGTTACCATGGTTACTTTGCAACCTTTTGCTTTTTACTTAATTTGCACGTGGGCGGTCGTACAAACATTTGTACAAACAAAGGGAATTCTTTGAATTATAATATAGACTAGAAAACCCGTGGTCACAGGGAGGAAGCTAGTAGTATTTTTGTTAGTAAGTTTAAATCGCGTCAAAATATCCTACACAACCGAAGATACAGCCCATTAAAATGTAGCTCGCACTAAACACAGCGTAATATCAATAAAACCGATCAAATTGACGTTAAAACAATCATTTCTCGTCTAATTTGCACGTGGCCTGGGCGGTCGTACATACATACATACATACATAAATAATTCTTTGAATTATAATTAAGAAGAAGATAACTCTAATGGCATGAAGTGCACGAAATCGTGTATATATATATATATATATTAGACCCTGTAATCATATGCTAGCTAAGGACCCGGCATATAGACTTTTTAACCGGTCAGATCTCGAGACATGCTTTTAGGTCTCAAGATGAGACTGTGAGGACCCGGAATGTTACCTAAAGACCTAAAAACCCCAAATGAAGTTTTTTAAATACAATTTGCCTGAAAAATCTTAAAATTTCCAGTTGATATACGGCCACGCAACCTAAACCAGACCGAAACCGGATATTAAGCCGCATATCCGTCCGGAACTGTATTCATCCGGAATTTAGCGAGGGGGCGGCCCACAGGTAAGTTTCGCCACTAAGCGTCAAGCGAAGGTAAAACATTTTTTAATGAATATTTTAAAAACTAAGCGATATAGATCCAGTAGGACACAAGGTAAGAAAATAAGTTAAAAAGTTAAAAGACCCTATGTTGCTTCATAGCTTGTATATAAATATGGCCATTGCAGTTAGTCTGAGGGTAATCTGGAAATTTTGCTCCTAGGGTTGGAACTGCTACTGGAGTATTGCTCTTGTTTGATAATTCAGATCTGAGGAGACTTGGCACATCAGTCTTACAGTTACACTGAGGGGCAGCAGTCTTACAAAATAATAATCTGACATTCCTGTCATACTAACAGTTGCCATGACAACAGATGCCAATATTAAGAAGAATGGAAATCAATCTCCTCGTGAGCTGCTCATCTTGATAATTTCGCGATCAGAAACTTTGCTAAAGCAAACAAGCGAATAGCAAGGACAAACCATTATTAACAACATTTAAATTAATATGACACCAATCTGCAGATAAGGTTAGTGTGTACGCTGTAAATACTAAATAGTGCTCAAGTGTGAAAGGTAGAATTAGTCAATAGTCATTAGCAATTCCATGAGGCTCCAAGAATTCTGAATTTATTGCAATGTTTCCCTTTGAATTTCTCTCTCTCTCTCTCTCTCTCTCTCTCTCTCTCTCTCTCTCTCTCTCTCTCTCTCTCTCTCTCTCTCTCTCTCTCTCTCTCTCTCTCTCTCTCTCTCTCTCTCTCTCTCTCTCTCACTCTCTCTCTCTCTCTCCCCCTATCTCTCTCTCTCTCTCTCTCTCTCTCTCTCTCTCTCTCTCTCTCTCTCTCTCTCTCTCTCTCTCTCTCTCTCTCTCTCTCTCTCTTTCTCTCTCTCTCTCTCTCTCTCTCTCTCTCTCTCTCTCTCTCTCTCTCTCTCTCTCTCTCTCCTGGTCAACGATTTCTGGCCCAAGAAGGCTCCAAGAATTCTGAATTTATTGCAATGTTTCCCTTTGAATTTCTCTCTCTCTCTCTCTCTCTCTCTCTCTCTCTCTCTCTCTCTCTCTCTCTCTCTCTCTCTCTCTCTCTCTCTCTCTCTCTCTCTCTCTCTCTCACTCTCACTCTCTCTCTCTCTCTCTCTCTCTCTCTCTCTCTCTGGTCAACGATTTCTGGCCTCCTACTTTAAGAGGGAGGTCTTATCGCCGTGCCCACAGAATGCAACTCCTGCTAGCTGCACGCCAGGACTCCCAAAGTATATACGAAATCATAAAATAATAAATATCAAATTATCAATGCAACAGACCCCTGGAGTCTTGAAGCTGTCGAGCTAACAAATTGAATCCAAAGTTTTAGTAATGCATTCGTTAAAAGTTGTATGTCCTATCTGCATCCCCGAAGCATTGCATTGTTGTTTATTCCTGGTCCGGTTAGCTTTGCGTCTCAGAACTAAAGAGGTCCGCTATGCTTTAGTGAGCTATGCTGTCCACCAGGGTACTGTAGATCTAAGGGTTCCCCGTGTAATGGGAAAGGCTGTGATAAAGCATCTCTGCAGGATGTCCGAGATGAACTGTTTTCGAGCGTTGAGATCTTCCGCTGTAGAAACTGATTAGAACCAGTAAAGAGATCATGAAGTGTAAATTTGCGAATTCTTCAAAAATACTCGAAACTTGGGTAGTGATCTAGGCTTGGTAATTTTGCCACAATCCCAAAATAGCTCCGTCGTAATTGCTTCACAAGCTGAGATAATATGGGGCATATCAATTACATTTTTCCAAGTTGTGGCTAGGTGACGGGATAGCATATACGACATGTGTAAAAACACCTGATTTTAATTGTCCATAACAAGTTTTCTGTTGGTTTTTTTGTTGAACCGACAAGATTACCATCAGGTTTAAACCATTGTATTTCACATATCTTCCTAAATTTGGTGTACAGCGATTAATCTAGTTCCTAAATTCAAGCAATTAAAGACAGCTCACTTCATGGAATTTGAATGTAGCACGATCAGTGTTCAATTTGTTTACTTTCGTTCTGTACGGTCTTAGTGTTTTAAAGCTTGCGAATGTGTGCTTTCTTGAATAACGTGCAATGTGTAGACACGAACCTAACATATGTATCCGTAGTCTGTACCCCGTAGATAAAAGTCTTATCTTCCGATTAAAGAATTAATAACTAAGTCAGAGCTGTTACAAATTTTCGCGTTTGTTGTCGACTGCGGCACGTGTTTTCAGAGTATAGTAGCTCAAGCTTTGCAATTATGACATTACTAAATATATTAGTTTAGCTTCATTCCATTATCACTGCAACAACTCTTTACTAGTTAAAATTTATCAAAAGACGGTTGATGGTAAGTCATTGTGCAGTCGGAGGTTGTAACAACCGTGAGGGAAGAGACACCATGAGTAGTAGGAGAAGCTTTCTGGTTTTTCATTCCGTCCCAAGCGATGCAAAACGTCGAACAGCATGGGATAAAAGAGTGAACAGGGCCGACCATGACGTTAGGAGGTTAAAAACCTATAGAGTCTGCAGCGACCACTTCAGCGACTGTGACTACAAAGAGAAGGACTGGGAGCACTATGTAAAGACAGGGAGTGTCACACGTTATCGCATGAGGTTGAAGGACACATGCATCCCCAACACCGACCCCAAAACAGGCGAAATTCGTCTATATATACCGGGCCAGCCAGCCGAGAAACGACCCAGACGGTCTATCATGGAGACAGTGGCAGTAGAATCTGATGATGGACATATTTTGCCATGAACTTAACAAGTAATTGTTTGTATCAAGAAATAACTATTCATAATTTAAGGTTAGTTTAGGTAATAGGTTCTTACTAACGTGTACTGTTATTTAGCGTTTGGTAATTGAATGTTTTTCTTCCTACAACATTACACAGCAGTACCTTACAAGACATTTTTGTGGCGGACCAATTTGCGACGACCGAAATTTTGGCGGTCCGAAAATATGGCGAAATTGAACAAAAACCGTCACATTTCGGACGTCACAGAAAATAAGGGTATTTTTCATCATTTTGTTTTCTGACACA